AAAAAAAAAAAAAAAAAACTTAAAAACCAATTAAGAAACGCAAATTTTCTAGAAATTCCCAAGGTTTTAATGCATGTAATATTTTTTAAACATAACTTAAAACCATATTTTAAACTTCTAGTCAACATACATAAATAATTCTTTATTTAAAAATATATTTTCTTAAGGAAAAATTTTAAATTAGTATTTTCCTGGAATTACTTAAGTTTTACAAATAAATGCAAGTTTAGAATTGTGGTATTTGCTTCTGACAGAATTGTTTTACTTTCTTACGCTCTGTGTTTTTTTTTTCTCTTTTCACCTCTTGTCTACCTTTATTGCCTTTTGTTTTCTGTGTGTCTTCTGTGTTTGCTTTACTCTTTTTTCAGTTTATGTGAACCAGCCTTAGGGCTGAAAAGCTCCGTGTGATGCCTTTCTTACTTTTTTTTATTTTTTTATATTCTTTCAAACTGGTGAAAGAATGAACGTGTTGTTGCACGTATGAAAGGCTCTAAGTATGGTGTGCTTGTTCTGAGTTTTATATTACAATTGGAGTAATTAATATTGTGTTTGATTCTAAATTTTTTCACTTACATTGTAACTTATGGTAGTTTATAATTAACAATTTGAAAATTAAAACAAACGTCTCATTTTTAAAAAAAGTTTTAAATTGATTCATAATATTTAGATTTTAAAAGAACAAGAAACTCTCTTTCAATCGATTAATAATTAGTTTCCAACTAATAAATGCTATTCATTTTTAGAATATTCATAATAGTATGCTTATATATGACTTGCAATGCATATATGTTTTACTATAGTTACTAATATATTAATGCATAAAATTCATATTTCATATCAAAAAGCTTTGAAAATATTTAAGGGTTTTATGAAAATTTTCATTTTTCGTAAAATAAAATTAATGCGTAGTTTTTTAATATACTTATTGCAATTGAAATTTGAAGAAAAAAAAATTATGAATTCGTAATAAGCTCAGATCGGCCTTTTATTACAAAGTATTATAAAGGATATTATCTTCTTTTTTTTTTAATGTGAGTTTTATCAAATGCGAATAGGTTTTCCATTGTACCAACAGTAACCGTTACTAACTTGCTACCGATTAAAATAATTTTGTTGTATGAATATGATTTTAATAAATAAATATATTTTAGTACTCTTTCTGAAAATTATTATCAACATCTTTTTTTTAAAATTGAATTAAAGATGTTCTATAAAAATAAAATTATTGTAATGTTAAAGAGCTATTTTTAGGAATAAGAAACGTAATTTTATTCGATTCTTAAGTCCATTCATTAGTTTTTTTAAATTTTTTTTCTATTTTTAATTAATTAATTTATTTATTTTGTATATACTTCAAAATGCTTTATTACTTTAATGAATCAAAGTCAAATACGATTAAACTACGACAATACGACTTTAAACGTGACGTCCAAAAAAATTCTGCAATGTAAGAAATTGCTATGTACTCTTTACTCAGAAAATGGTAAAAAGTAACAAAAAACTTTCCTGGCGGGATATGATTGTAAGGGGGAATCAAATAAGAACAAGTTCCAGTCGATTGGGCTAGAAGTTATTTAAGGTATAGATAGTGGTCGGTAAGAAGGTATGATAGTTTTAAGCAGAGAAAATTGAATTATTTGACTTGTATATGTTGGCATAACGATTTAAACGATTGAAGTATTATTTTTAATATTTTTTTTACTTCAAACTATATGATACCAAACACAAGACAATCGGTCAAATACTTCAGGCGTACAATTTGTGACTAGTACTTTTTTTCGCTTTTAAAATTGTTATTTACACAAGTAATGAATTATTTCATGCATACTTTCATGGTAAATCCAGTAAAACCAACTCCTAGTAGATAGGATATGTATTTCAGTCGAAAAAGTATTAATAAGTAAAAGTATTGAATGTGTGTAGTTAAGCAACTTATGCTCGTTCTCCACGAATACGTCGGGCAAGTTGGATGTCTTTGGGCATGAGAGTGACTCTCTTGGCGTGGGTAGCGCAAAGGTTAGCACCACTTCTAATACTTATTCGACTTATTCGACAAAAAACACCGCTTTTCATTCTCGAAAACTCTTGCAACTTAAAAGGGCACCTGAAACTCTTACCTTTAACCAAAACTGGATACTTAATTGTCCCAGTAATAAAACTTTTCTGTTAGTTTTGCCGAAGTTTTGGCAATTTTTACTCAATTCTATTTGTATACTGCAGTATAGCAACAAGCAAAAAAATGAAAAAACTAAATTCAAATATCACGAAAGGTATTTTTGTTTATAAATATTGAATCATCCAGTTTTCAGATTAAATGCAAGTTAATACATGTGAAATTTTTTAACTTAGTCTTAATATTAAAAAAAATAATAAAATGTTTAATTTTGCCATACAATGCCCCCTCAACATTGTGTCAGAGTATCAGAAAGAAAATCAAGCTTTTAATCAATTTGTCCCTGATACTTTCACTGATCTGGATTGTTTATAACACAAAATAATATTTTTGAGTACTTATTCATATTCAATATTCGAAAATTAATGTTTTTTCAGTCGTGTATCAGTGGCAAGAGGACAAGTGATTAACAAAGAAGGGACAGGATTGATAGGTGTTCGTGTCAGTGTAGCAACTGATCCTCAGTTTGGATTTACCTTAACACGACCGGATGGGTGGTAAGTATCAGATCATTAGTAAACAATGCAATCCATTAAAATAAATTTTGTAAACAGAAAAGCAATTATATTCTATTTTTCCCTTATCTCTTAAATGTTACTTCATTTTAATTATCTGAGAATAACGGGTATTTTGTAATAAGTAAAATTTAAATAATAATTTTATTGCATTTCTTGCAACTTTCATTGAAATGACTCATATTACACGGAGACAATAATCTGGTAAAATTGGTGCATGATTGTGATAACATTTCTGTTAAAAAAAATCCATATTTCTGGTTATAAAACCAAAATATATGATATTTAACCCATTCCTTCTCGCTCCCGTGAAAATGACGGGGTGAGGTTTCGCCCTCTATTTCTCGCTCCCGTGAAATTTCCAGGCTGGAGTGCTCAGTAGTAACGAGCCAATTAGAATAAAACTAATTAATTCCTTTCGTCCAGAAAACATTTTATTTCTCATTTTATACACCAGATGGCTGTACCAGAATATTTTTAAGGTAATTGTAGACAATTAGTTTATTTTAAACTAGATGTTAAACTTTGGCAAAATAGGCACTTTCATGACAGTTTTCTTGAAAAGGGGTTAAGCCAATTGTTAAGGGGTTAAGTCAATCATTAGGTAATTTTTTTCGTTTATATGTTAACGGTTTAAAAGAAATTCTGATTTTCCTAATAATAGTTCTTATTATCAAACACTTTGCAAAAACTGCAAAGTCTCAAAAGTAAATTTAACCAAATAAAAGGATTTTATGTCTTGTTCTATGATGTCATGATAAAATTACCAAACTTTACCATATTTCTCAAATTTTATTTCACATTATAAAAACATATTTTATTGCTAATGATGTCACAGTGCATAAAAGAGAATAAACGTGCTCTTTTGTATCCCACAGAGCTGGAAACACTATTAATTTCACCATATTTTGGTAGTTTTGACTATATTTTTTTTTCTCGTTCTAAAATATTCATTTCTCAACAATTGTACTTCACTACGACTTTAGCTAAGAAACAAAACGCTATGTTTTCTTTCCTTTAAATACCCTAACACTTAGGTTTATTTAAACAGGCTTCTATATTTCATCAAACCTCTAAATTGAAATATTCATGTTGTCAACAAATTAGATGAAGGCCAAAATTTAAAAATCAATAATTTGCAATATTTGCAATTGCATAATTTTCAATATTTGCATTATCGTTTAATTGCTTAAATTCGTTAAACATTCCCATATGGTATTTTTTATCAGAAAAACTGAAATTTATATAACAGAAGTTTCACTATAAACATTGCCAGATTTTTTTCTTCTTTTTCTCTAAAAAAAAAACACCTAATTTCTTTTTCAACACCGAATTGTAAAAAGAAAAGAAAGAAAGAACAGCTCCAAACCTCTAAGACACTTTGGCAAATATATATCTACAGTTCCGATCTGATCATCTCCGGAGGGGGTGAAGAATTCTATAACCTAGAAAAAGAGAAAGAGGGGGATATCAGGAAGGGGGTCAGCAAAGACTCGCGAATAGGTAATCCTTGCCCAAAGCCAGATCTCTTTACCAATCGATAAGAAGTAAAATATGGCGAGAAGAAGGATTGGAGCTTAGAAAAGGGCGAGAAATCGAAAGAAACTCACATTTCAACCTGTCAATCGTTTCAAGTTGCCCTCCTTAATGTTTCTCTGAATAGTGGATTACTAACAAAAGTTAAATTCCTCAAGAATTACTCAAGCATGTTTTATTTATGCTGATTTAATATCAATGAGAATGAAACATTTTAAAGCAACTTATTATTTTCGCTGCTGAGTAGATAATCTTTAAGGGTATTTGATCGATGAGATTTGGGAGAGAATTATTTGTTTAGTCGGATAAAATTAATGTGCTGTGAAGCATATAAATAAAATTTAAAAAAATTAATCAGAGATTTATTTTTAAGGTACATTAAGAATATGTATTGCGTGTGATTAGGTTTATGGAAGGCCGATTATTTACGGAAAAAAAATGTTTTGATTATTTAAATATGATGACTTTCAATGTTGTTGCATTTACTTAAATAATCTTAGAACTAAGTTTTGCATAGTGCGGAAAGTACGAAGCTGATTAAGAAAAAAATTTATAATGGTAAATATTTACACTATATTTACACTATATTGTTTAGGTAAATATTTATATTGGTAAATATTTCATTGATACTTAATCTGTGAATAAAGAAAAACAAGTACGTATCCAACATTGAGAAAAAAATTTATGATCAAAAATACAGGAATATGGTAAAATTTACCATACATGGTATAATTTACCATGCCTTGTGGGAACATCAAAAAGCACTGTAATTTTTACCAAAGTACTTTGTTAATGATTTTGGTGAAATTAATGATAAAATATAGTTTCCTATTATGCCATGAAATTTGTTAAGTTTATCATGATACCTTAGAGCACGGCATAAAAATATTTATTACAAGTTAACTTTTCAATTAAATTAAATTTTACAGTTAAAATTACTTTTCAGTTTTGTATTTTTTAATAACCTGTTTTGTCTCGAATTTTTTCATTCAAGTTATGCATAATGTAGCTGCTTGAAAAAAAGTTGTATAGTGTATGCGTAAACACTAAGTGGATATTTTGCATTGTTACCTACCATTTTATGTTTCACCAAACCTATTAATGAATATCTAAATCAGATAAATTTTGTTGGTTGAGGATCTTTTATTTCTCCTAAGGAAATTATGATTATGAATAACTAGTTCTACCATAATGTATGTTGTTGAAAAAAGTAAATGTTCAATAAATAAAACGCAAAACGGTTAAATATGCGATAATAAGAACTGTAATTTTGAAAACCGGATGTGAACCGTAAGCATTAAAAAAATGAAAGATATAAATATCTTATATTTTGATTTTATTAAGCAAACTTATGACTTTTTTACCATAATTTTTTTTATCTTACAGTATGGTAATTTTACCAGAATTTTCTTCTCCGCAAAGAATGAGAAGTCAAAAATGCATAACAATCCTTGAAAATATTTTTAAACTTAGAATTAAAAAATAAGTTTTTCCTTTTTTAAACATCAGTCCTAGTTTGCTTAGAACAAACTATATGAAAATAAATTGGAGAGTACAGATACCTTTTAAAATTGCTAATTATCAACATGCATGTTAACTATTTAAGTTCGGTGTTTATTGCTTAAAACTACAATTCAAATTATATTGCATTTCAAACATTAGGTTATTTGATTTATTAATGATACTTGAATAAAAAATATGCGTGAATAACGTTATTCATTTGAAATAGAACTGAAGATGCCGCTATAAAACACTGATTCTAACAATTATAACTAGATAAATTAATTATTCGTATTTCATTATTAGAATTTATATTTTAAAATAAAATAAGATTAAAATAATGCACGATACTAGTATAATCAATAGAATTTATTATACTTTAAATATTTATCTCAACTGAGCAAAAATAGAAATCGAGACTGTCTGTGCCCTTGTCAAACATAATTTATTATGGCTTAACCAAAAAGAAATATATAACTTCTCAACCTCTTATTCCTTAAACTTATCTGACAGGTTCTGGTACTGGTTTTTTTTTCGAATATATATCTCGTAAATTATTACTATATGTCTGATAACAAGTTAGTTATAATAAAAGTTTAACTATTCAGAGCTTTTATCCTGCATACCTGTACGCGTTGATCGATTTTAATTAGGTGATTTAGTTTATTTTAAACGTTGCGAAAAGGCAGACAAATGATAAAATAAAAGTAGAATATTGTTAGAAAAGTTACAAAATGATTAATGACGAATTTATTTCTGAAAAAGGAGATGAATGATGAAAAATTAATGATGAAATCATTTCTGAGAAGTTTCAACATTAAATAAAGTTAAAATTTATAGATCTATAAGAAAATAATCAAGCAACTTAGAGATTATGATTGTCTCTTGTATCATGTAATATATCACAGTAAAATAAGCACATTATTATAATTAATAAAAACGTCTTTAGAGACGCATAGAAAAATAGTTAGGAAAATTGAAATGTTTTAATTATATTTTAATGCACTATTGCTTAATAAAAAAAGCTTGATAAATGCTTAATAAAGCTTAACTAAAGCTTAAATAAAACTTAAAATTATATATCGGGACTTTGAAAAGGAATATTTTTATTAATTGGTTTGAAGCAAATAAAAATGCTTAATGTGTAATTAAAGTTTTTGTTTTTACTGAATGTGTAACAATTACAGCTTAGCTTAAAAGTACAGTAAATTTCCACAGATGATATGAAAATTACAATAGGGATACTTCGTAAAAATTTGATTAATGCAAGCACGAAAATGAGTGTTTGCTATTTTGGAAGAATAATTTAATACTAATCTCATTTGTTTTTGTTTATATTGTTGTAGTAACGCATTCTTTACACAAGATGAAAAAAAAGTAAATAAACAAATTCTTTATTAATCAACATTTCAAAATCATGAACATAAGTAAAAATAGTATACCGACGAAATTATTTAAGCTAAAGCAAAACAATTTTTAAAATTTTAGTTCCATTCTTAATTAATCAATTAATTAGTTGTGTTCAGTATCATCCGTTAAGGATCAATGCTATCGTTAAAGATCAACTCCTGAAAATTAACACCAATTTCCTACTGCAGCTTTACTATTAGGTGGGCCGTAAAAACATTTTCCACAATACCTATAGTAGGTATCTTGGTACCAATATTAGTTCGTTTAGTACATATTAAAGGGAGTCAGGAATGCATCTAAAACAGACCTTTATCATTGTACCTTTTCCCAGCATCTAAACAGGACAGTGATTCATTTTTTTTTCTTCACATATTATTTATACATACATGTTTACACTGTGATAACTGTTAATACACATTTTTAACAGGATTGTTTTTTTTTTAAATTATGAACAGAGAACTTTTAATTTTTTAAAAGTCTCATCAAAAATCTTTCATTACTCAAAAAGTATTCCTGGTTAGGGCTAAAACATTATC